TGCGCGGTTCATCCCGCGGGGTGAATTCCCGAGCCCATTTTACAAGTTTGTTCCACCTTCTCCCTGTCTTGCGCCGCGCCTGCGGGGACCCCCACAGGTCGTCGAGGGCATGCGCCCTGGCCGCAATCGCACGCGAGGTGGCAACCGGGCACTTGGGGCAGCCAGGGACTTGGAAGCGAATGCCCAGGCCTGTAAGGATGTTGTCGGGAATCCTGGAGGCAGAGGCGAGACCGAGGGCAACCCGCAGGTGGGCCCGGAGCGCCCTTTCCTGCGCGGTGTCGGGAAGGGAGTAGTGGGAGGGGTAGGGGATGAGCGCGATGAGGTAGGCGTTCCAGGCGAGGGCAGTTTTGGTGGGAGACACGCTGGCAAGGTGCAGGGCCATGGCTCGGTCCCGTAGCTTGGGGAGAGGTTTGCCCCAGGTGCCGGCAACGAGGGCGTCGAGTTGCCCTCTTGTCATTGCGCCCCGGGGCGAGAGGCTTTCTCCTTCGGCGGCCCGAGACCCAGCGCGCCCGATCCTCATCTTATATGGAGGTTCGCATGGGTTCTCATCTTAAAGATGAGGATCCGTCAAATCCACATCTCTAAAGATGTGCCCCCCATCTTTAGCGATGGTGGTTGGACTTAAAAGGATCGAGCCAAACTGGCTGACAGAGGATTGAAAGAGGATGAGGGGCGCGAAGAGGAGGAAGCGGAGGAGGAAAGGTACTGACACAGGAAAGGTGTAGGATAGGGCAGGCGAGACTGAGAGAGGAGAAGGAGGACGATGAGAAGGAAGAGGGGGAGGATGAGGACGAGAACGAGGAAAGGGAGAAGGACACGGGGAAGGAGGAGCGAACGGCCCACTTCGAGGAGACACCCAAACAGTTCACCTCGAGCCTGATCAGTAGATACACGCGCAATCACACGCCTAAATGCCCCGCACGGGGTTCGCGAGATTACCCTTTGCATCCATGGCCTGTGCGCATTCCTCTCCCGTCCAAACTCAATCTCGTTTGTGGAGTCGGGGTTCGTGGCCGCGCGGTGGCGGATGAGCTCGAAGACCGTGGCCCGTGACCCTTTAGCGGCGGCGTTCGTTGCCCGTGGCCCTAAAAGACACGTCCGCGTGTAGGTCTCTACCTTTCCTGCCTCCTCTCTCTCGTCTCATTCTCTATCACTCTCGTCGCGTGATGCGTTGCGCTCTTCTGGCCCGTTGGAACGATTTGCATTGCGATTGCATCGTTTGGGTTATTTCGCCACGACCCCCACCGCGTCGCCATCGCACGCAGGTAGTCCAGATGCAACAGTTCAACACATGCGTTGCAAACCTTGCGTGCGTAGCTACATTTGGGCTCGGTCAGGTTTTTGTGGCCACGGCAGTGCATCGTAACGAATGGTTGGGGTGAAAGCGCGGCGTGCTGGCCACGCTGCAGATGACCTCGTGCCTGTTTTCCAAAAAACGTTTGAGCGCCACCTGAATCATGGCGGCTGGGTCTACAGTTCTCTAGACATGAAAAAGGGGATCACTATTGATGAAGGAGTTTGCAACGGAGCTGGATGATCTCATCAAATTAGATCCTCGGGGAGGGCACTTCCTGCAAAAAGACGCGCACGAGGCTATCAAACGACTACCAGTTGAAGATTATTGGAAGGGATTGTTTGACTCGTGCACCCAGGCGAAGGGCCACGAGGACAACGAGCACACAATATCACTCATTGCGCACACATACAGAGTGGCGCTTTCCCACGTGCGTGAAAAAGACGATGCCTTCACCAAGATCGACCAGAACGTTGCCACAACGCATCCCGACTGGCTTCGGTCAATATATTCACGCATGAAGGACGTCGCCAACGAACCCCCCAGAATGTCGCCCCAGTATCCGAGGAAGAAGCATCCCCTACCTGCTTTTCGGCTGCCAGATGAAGATGAAAATGATGATAACAAACCTGTGACGGTTCTGAGACAAATCGAGATGACCGCCACGGAGGCGATGGCGGTCAAGCTTCTCAGCGATGGGTGCAAAGTCAGTGCTTCGTCCTATGCCGCAGGCGATGGTGGATTCGCTATTGCCAGTTGGGGGGGTTCCGAATCCTGGGTTACAACGATTCCAAATCAATACATTGCAGATGGTGGCAATCAGTTGAAGCGCCCACAGCCTTTTGAAGTACCTCCTGAACCCAGGTCAAAGGGAAAAAGGAAAAGCAAAGGCGAAGGGGAAACCAGACATGAAACGGCCAGCTGATGCTGCAGAGGCCAATGTCCGAGTCAAACGCCGCCCAGCAGCAGTCAAGCCCAAGCCAGCGGCTGCCCTCGCAGTTCTACCTCCCGCTGATGCAGCAGACGTTCCAGAGGAGGCGGCCGCGGGTGAGGAGGAGGAAGAGCCTGAGGAGGATGCTCCTGCCGCCGCTGAGGGCGCCCCAGTGATCGACCTGAGCGCGATTCCCCGTGAGCTCCATCCCCCGGGGCCACTGGAAAGGAAGAAGTCTTGGACTGCGAAGCCGTTCGATGGGCCCTGCACCGCGTCCGCCCTCGCAACCAAGAGCGCGTCCTACATCAACGGAGCGGCTGAGGTCCCGAAGGAGCTCTGCGACCTCGAGCTGGTCTGCAATAGAAAAAGGCGATCTGAATGTCGGTTGGCGTGATGATATTGGCGCAGCCTGGGTCGCAGTCAAAGCAGCTGTCATGCATGCGAATCTTCTCAAAGAGAGTGGCATGTGAGCTGCGCGTGGGCCCGATCCACAAAAACAGGAAAGAGCAGCATCCGCGCTCCATTGGCAGACCCTCCTCACTCCCCTCTCCTCCCTTTCTCCTCTGTCCTCCTTCTGAGGCTTCCGAGGATTTCAGAGGGGAACCCTGGGGGCCCCAGAATATTTCAGAGTACTTCGTAGGACCTCAGAGCTCCCAGTGCGTTTCCGAACACATGCAAACATAACCTGCTCCGCTCGGACCCACCATAACCCTGGCGAGCGTCTACCGAATCGAAGATGCACGCCGCGGGCGCCGACGTGGCAAACAACGACAAACAAACAATAGGAACGCGAAATGGCACATAATTCATAATATATATATATATATATATATATACATATATGTATGTGGCATAACAATACATTAATACCAAACATATATACATGTATATAATCTATCAAATATGCTATGTACTACTATACATGTTATACATGAATTGATGATGGCACTTCGTAGATTGCACAACTGCTTAATACATGTATGTTCCCTTTCCCCTGCCGAGCGGCGGGCGACCTACGCCGCCCCCGCCCGTGGCCGGGCAAGCCGCGCCCTCTCCCCCGCCCGACGAGGTCGGGGCGAGGCCCCGCCGAGAAGCTCCAGAGGGGCCACCCAGAGGGCCTGCAGAAACCATCGTTAACTCATCACCGCCTTGGGGTCGGCGGAATGGCGGAAGCCTCTGGGATAAGAAAAAGGGACATCGGGGCTAGGCCAGAGGCCGACGTCGTTCGGATTTCTCAGAGCCGCGCGTCCAGCCGCGCAAAAAGCGCCCCTCGCTTCCCTCGGGCCCGCCGCGGCCGTCCGGCGTCAGTCGCGCGCTTGTGTCCCGGGGCCCTGAGTGCAGGGACGAGGGAGTGGGGGGACAGATAGATAATATCCAGGAGTACTAATCTAGTAACCTTAGAACCCATTCCCCTACCCCCTTGGCCCTACTCCCCCTGCCCCTACTCAAGTGTCGGGGGAGCGGGGGTAGAAATTGAAACGCGACGGGCCCCGGGCACGCCTCGCGGCCTGACTCGGCCCGCCCGGCGCGTGCACCGCGGCCCAGCGCGGCCCGGCGCGGCCCGGGGCGCCCTCCTCCTCCTCCTTCTCCCCCTCGTCGTCGTCCTCCTCCTCCTCCTCCTCCCCCCCCCCTCTACTCTCCTACCCCTCTACTTTCCTGCGCGCCTCGTCCCCTTTCCTCCTCCTCCCATCATCTTGTCTTGCTACCCTCCTACCCCCTACTCTCCTGCTCCCGCCCTCCCTTATCCTCCTCCTCCTCCGGCGACGGCGCCGACTCACGCCGGCGACGACCTCGCATGAGTCGAGAAGGGCGAGGGGGAGGCGCGGAATGAGGAGAAGTATGGCATGGCGAGGATTAGGTAGATGGAGAAGGAGCAGGAGGAAGCAGCGTAAGTAGAAGGATGGGGGGGGGCAAGATGGAGAAAGAGAGGGCGGGGTCTTCCTCTACAACCCTCCCCGATCATCCCCTGTCTCCTCCTTGCTTCCTCTCCCCCCTCTCAGCGCGCCTTCCTCTCACTTCTCCTCGTTCCTCCCTCGCCCCAATTCCCCCATCACCCCCCCGAGAAGTTGCTCCCTCGGGGCCTCGCGCCCGTCGCCCGCTTGGCGAGCGCCTTGGCGTTTTTGGCGTCGCTCACCACAGCGTCGTTGAACGCGTAGCCCATCTTGGCCAGCGTCTCCACGTTGGTGATGACCGCGGAGACCTGGTTGCACATCGCCAACATGGATTCGCGATGCGGGTTCCGCAGCACCTGGTCCTGGCATCGCCCAGTCGCGAGGATCTTCGCGGACTCGACGGCGGTGCTCGGCGGCGCGAAGTCAATCAGCTTCTTGGCCGGGTCCGGCAGGGCGCTCTCGGCGGCGAACTCGGCGCAGAACCTGGGGGGCGCGGAGGAAGATGAGAAAGGGGGGAGAAATGGGGGACAGGAGGGGAATGACGAGGAGGTGGAGGAGGAGGAGGAAGTAGGAGTAAGAGGACGAGGAGGCTGAGGGGGCAGAGGAGGAGGAAGGGGAGGAGGAGGAGGAGGAGGAGGGAGGAGGAGGAGGAGAGGGGTATGCGGTATGGGGTATGCGCGGCACGCAGTATGCCGCATGCCGCGTGCCGCATACCGTGCGCATGCGGTATGCGTACGGTATGCGGATGCGGATGCGGTATGCGGCGCGCCGCATCCGCATGTCACATACCGTCTCCATGCGTCCTCGCATACATACCGAATGCGAGGAGGACGGCACGGGGTCGGAAACGAAGGCGAGGGAAGAAGACATGTGACATGGGCACCTGATGGACGCCTGCTTGAAGGCGAGCTCAGCCTTCTCGGCCAACGCGTTGAGCTGCGCCCCCTGCTCCGGCACGGTTGCCAGCGTCTCCTCGGGCACCTTGAGGACCTGGCCCCTCGCGTGCTGGGCGCCGGAAGCCACCTCCTTGACGGCCGTCAGCTCCGAGACGATGTCCGCCGCGCTCATGCCCGGGCGGGCCCGCTCGAACGCCGCGGTCGCAGCGGCCGATCGGGCGATGCGCAGCAACCCGTCGTTCGAAACGATGGCCGATGAGTGGAACCCGCCCAACTTCTTGAGCTTCTCGACTGCGTCGCCAACGTCGAACCTGGAGACGTCGATCTCCTGGGGGGCAGAAAAGAGCAGCGAGCGAGCGCGGGGGCAACGGCATAGCGTGACAAGTGGACGGTTAGACGGAGAGAGCGAACGAGGAGGAGAAGGATAATATCAAATGGACGATGGAACTGGAGGGCCGGGGAGAGCCGAGAGGGAAGGGTTTGGGGGGCGAATTGAGAAGGGGGCGCGGAGGGGTCGGAGAGCGGGAGGAGCGGTCGATCAAAGGACAAGGGGGAATGCATGAGAGCGGGGGCGCAGGAGGAGGCGGGGGGCGGAGGAAAGGGAGGGGGGGCAGAGAAATGGGGTGGGGGAGCGCATGCAGAGGGGGAGAGGGAGCAAAGCCCCCGCTCCTCCAATCTCTCTGGCTCGACGATCTCTGGGATCATCAAGTCGAACGCCCTGCTGGCCGCCAGGCGGGCGTCGTCCATGAGGGCGCACGAGGCGGCTCTGTCCTTGTTGATGGTCTCCGAGACCTTCGTTGGGATGCCACTTGACTCCCACCACTTCTGCACGGAAATCCAGTCGATACTCTCAGCGCCGTCGAGCTGGGCAAGATGGCCGAAGGTGTCGCCCAAGCTCATGACGTTCGCGCCAGCCTCCAAGGTAAGCGAATCCATCGCGCCGTCGATGACCCGGATCATGACGGGGACGGCGTTGTCCCAGCACAGGAAACCAGACATGCTGCAATGCTTCGGGTTGTCCGAAGAGCCCCCATCAATCAAAGACTCGAGCGCCGACTCCAAACGATTCGCCGTCCACTCCATGGAGACGAAGCGAGCGACGACGTCACGCATAGTCTCGCAATGCTTCGAATCCACCAACGACTGCAAGCGCCCCCGGCAGGCCCCCCCCCTCGATGAGCGCGAAGTCTGTGGCCCAGATCCGCACGACCCCTCTGAACATCAAGATGTAACCCTCGTGGGATACGGACACTGCTTCGTCGAAGATGGTTTGGGAATGCCCCTCGAGCTCTGATTTGACGCACGGCGACAGCGTCTGCATGAAACCTCCCAGGGCCGCATGTCTGCGACGGCCAGTGGAAGAGGTCAACGGAAAGGAAGAAAGGGGGAGGGTGAGAGAGACCCCCTCTGTGTCCTCGCCCCCTCTTCCACCCCCTCCCCTCTCACCCCTCTGCTCCCTGCCCCCCCCTACCTCTGCGCTCTACCCCTATCACCGCCCCTCTCCTCTTACCCTCGCCTCCTCTCCCCCCCCCTCTACCCTAACCCTCCCATCCCCCTCCCTTCCGCCCCCCCGGGGGAGGCGGGGGAGGGGGGGGGGGGGGGGGGCATGGGCGCGGGGGAGGCAGCAAGGGAGGGGGGCCCTCCGCGCCCCACGATCGCGCTCCACCCAGCGGCCCAGCAAGTCCACGATGACCGAGAGGGCGAGCTCCTGGGGCACGCGGCCGCCCAAGCTCTGACTCGCTCATCCAATCCCTGCTCTTGACTTCGGCTCAACATCCTCACGCCCCCGCCATCCCCCATCCCCCCCCCCCCTCCTCCTCCTCCTCCTCCTCCTCCTCCTCCTCCTCCTCCTCCCGTCCCCCCCCCCCCCCCCTCCTCATGCTCCTCCTCCTCCTGCTCCTCCTCCCTCCCCCTCCCCTCCTCCTCCAACTCCCCGCTCCATCGCCATGCCGTCCGCCTACGCCCCCCCCCCCCCCCCCCGTTGGGATCTTGGCCCCCTTTTCCCCCTGGATCCTGGCCCTCTGCCAGGTTCTCTTTCGCAGCGCTGAGCTTGGCAATCAAGGCGAAGGCGTGGCTGGCGATCTCCAGGGCCCTCTCCATGACGGCGCTCATGTGATCCAGGCTGGACTTGGCATTCGAAAGAAACACGCCGCCGTGATTGGGGTAGCGCACGAGGAGGCCCAAGGGGTGGTTGCTCTTGCTGGCTGACTTTCTTGAGTCGGGGACGTGCGTCAGCGCCTCCTCGATGGCAGCGACGTCGTAACACTCCAGGAGCGCATTGAGCTGGACGAGCTCCCTCGCCAAGACCTGGTCGATCTTGTCCTCAGGAGGCGAGTCGGAGTCGTCAACCTGGAAGCGGGACGTCACGCGGCAAAGAATGTCCAGCACCTCGCCGCTGGGCCCTGACGACTCGAGGGCAGTGACCAGGGCCAAGTTCACGATGGATCGTTCGATGCCGACAATAGGCCAGTGCTTGCCCAAGAAAGACCGAAGCGCGCGTGGAGTAAGATGGTCTTTCAGCACAACCTCGGAATTGAAAACGTCGTAGGCCAACACCTTGAGCCTCAGCTAAAGCAAGAATGATGATTCGAAAGCGACCCGAGGGTCCGAGGTAGCGAATGTCGTCAACTTAACCCAGGCGCTGTTGAAGGAGGCGATGCCCTGCTGGAGCGTACGGCGTGAGGGCCAGGCCGAGTACATGGCGATGCCGCGCTCCATGAGCTGCAAGCTCTTCGTCTGGATAGACTTGTGGAGCCTGGCGGTGTCATCCTTCGCCTGGAGATGCTCGACTTTGGAATTGTCGACGTACCTGCGGACGCTCCGCACAGAGTTCTCGCGCCGGGGCCCGAACATCTGGCAACTCTCACCCCCCGTCTCCCACATGTCCTTGATGGTATCCAGATAGTCCGCGGCCGTCTTTGGCTTGCGACCCCGACCGAGTGACACTTTCGCTGCTTCATCTTTTGGAGACGCTGCGGGGGGCTTCCCTGGCGGCCCCATCTGCCCTGGCGACACAGTAGCAGACCATTCTGGCCCATGTCCAGGGCTCTCACCAGCGCTGGGCGTGCCAGGCGCCTCCTGACCAGCCTTCGGCATGGGCGATTCCACAGCGGCCGCGGAGGCCGCAGCGGGAGCGGCGTATGACGCTGTGGCGGGAGCTGACGCCATCTGCGGCGGGGGCGGCGCCGCCGCTGCCCGGGCGGGGCGGGCGCGGGGCGCGGCTGGGATGGGCGCCGCAGCCGCGCCAACTCGGCCCGCCGCTGCTGCCGCAGCCACAACAACAGCAGGAGCTCGGGGTCGGGATGCCGAGGCGGGCGCCGAGGCGGGCGTCGCGGCCGTCGAGCCCCCAGCGCGGGAGCGGCCCGCCCCCGCGGCCCTGGGATGCTGGGCCGAAGATCCCTCCCCCGCGGCGCCGAAGATCCCGCGTTTTCTGGATCGCCGGGGCTCCTGGTCGCTGCCCTCGGCAATCTCGTCGACGGCGTCCTCGTTGTTGTCCTCCTCTGCCTGTGCCTTGTCTGACATCTCCTTCGTCAGATCTGCCAGAGACATGCCTGAAGTAGCCTGGGCGCACTCGCTCTGCATCGCCTGGGCGCCTGCCTCGCACCTTTTATCTGCCTGGTCGTCGTCTGCGAGCCCCTCGGAGTTGCCGTCCACCAAGGTGTCCACGCGAGCCAACGTGTTGGCGAACTTCCTCCGGATCTTCCACGGCCCCCCTTTCTGTCTCACCACTGGCATCCCCGCTGCAAGGAGGCCGCCGCCGAGCTCGACCACGCAGTGGCCGCGCTTCTTATTCTCTGGAGCGTTCGGGTCACCGTGGAGACTCGTGCACTCGGCCAGTGGGAGGCAGTCGTCGGGCGGGGCCTCGGCCTCCACCGTCGCTGTCTTGGCACTCGTCAACTCCTTCTTGGCGATGCGATCCCTCCTGTCGATGCCAGTCTTGTTGCCGCTGGCGATGCGCTTGTAGAACTTGTTGAGGTGGCCCTGGAATATCGAACGCCTGTTCATGTCTGTCGCCAGCGCCGAGGCGAACTCAGTCTTGTCGGCGACCGCGCTTCCCTCGAACTCACCGGCGAAAGCCAACCAAGTCCGACAGCAATGTCAGCAAGCCGGCCCTCGACCATCTCCTCGCTCCCACTTGTTTCGCGCGCCGGCACTGCACGGATCCTTCCGCGGCGGCGCGGGAGAAGAGTTGGGGGGCGGGAGATGCGGAAGCAGGAGGAAGAGGAGGGCGAAAACGAGGAGGCGGAAGGGGCAGGAACTAGGTAAGATGAGAAGAAGAAGGGCGCAGATCAGAAGCGGAGCGGAAAGCAAGAGGGGGGAGTGGAGGGAGGAGGGGGAGGGGGCAGATGGGGAGGAGGAGGAGAACTCATGACTCATGTGACTCATGTCACTGATGTCACTTCTCGTCGTCGTCGTCGTCGCGAAGACGACGACGACGACGGACGAGACGTTGCATTTCCAAAGTCGTCGTCGCCGCCGCCGCCGTTACGCTGCGCCCCACCCCCCCTTTCGCTCCTCGCTGCAATTGCACCTGCCGCACAGCATGGAGCACGATTTCTCGAGGATACCCCCGGGCACGTCGAACTTCAGGCCCGTGCCAGGCACTGGTGGACACAAAGCGACTGCGCTGGAAGGACCTGCGCCATGCCGCTGCTTCGACTCGGCCCGGGTGCGCTGTCCAGCGCCCGCAGAGCGGCCACTCTGCGAGCCACCATCCCCTCTGGGCTTCCTCGGCGCCCCTCGCACTGAGGGCGCTGGCCTTGGGACCTTGGCCGCTGGAGCAGCCGCCGCCTCGTCTAGGGTCCGCTTGGCCATTGCCCCTGTTGCCCAGCCCCCGGGTCAAAACCCCCAGAAGCCCATGGCCGCGCAAAGCGAAGAATCTTATGTCACCTGCTCTGTCCCGCGATGTTTTGCCAGGCTTGCTCGGCTGATTCGCCTCGCACCGGATAGCTGTGTGTGCCGTTGTGTTTTGTTTGAGTTGGTTTGATTGCCTTTGCGTTGCCTCGCACTTGCTTGCGATGATGCTACATATGGCCTATGCCTCGCGCTTGTCTTATAGTCTTATAGTTTGGATGCAAGGCCCTTGGATGTTCAATGTGGGCAACCTTTGGCCTGGGCAGATTCAATGTGATGAATCGGCCGAAAGGCAGGGATGCAAGGATCGCCCCAGGCTATGAGCCCTGGCTGGGCCGACGGGGCGGGCGGGCGGTGGACGAGCGCCAGGAAGGGGGGGGGGCGCTGGGCAAGGGGCGAGGAAAAGCGAAGGGCAGTGGGGCGAGGAGGCAGGGCAGCTCGCTTCGCAATGGCCTTCGAGATCACGCGAATCCT